ACTTTTTGATTTATTAAGATCCTTTAGAGAGAGTGGGTTTAGCTCAGTAGTAGAATATTATGCTTACTGTGAACAAGGCCCTGGGTACCATTTTTAGAAGCACCAGAACATTTAAAAATTAAAAAATAAAATAAAATCTTTTAGGTTCTTCAAGAGACATATGCTCACAGAAAAATAATATGTTTCACACTAGTTTAAACAGATATAAAAAGAGTGCATATCATACAAACTCTGCCATTTTAATTACCAATATTTATTTCATTTTAATTCTCAATTCAGAAATGTTATTAAATAGTAATAACTATTCATAATTGATTCACTTGTTGGCCACAGTTACCTGTCCCCTCCCAGGCATGGTTTTTTCCTGTAAAATTTGCTACATTTATTGTACTTTAGAGATATTCAGACACTAAGAAATCCATTCAAATACCAATGATCATGCTAACTATGAAGTAACTGGTTAATGAGTTTTAACACCAGAAGACTCTTCCATTTTAAACAGTCTCTTCCTATTTGTTTTGACATATTTCTTTCTTCATACCTAGTTTTCTCTTTGAGCATAACATCTCCAGTTCCTTCCATCTTTCCTCTTATATTTTGTTTTTCAATTCTTGACCACTCAGTCACCTTTCTCATTAGTTGTTCCAGTTTATACCTGAGTTTGGATCAACTTCAAGACAGTCCAGCAAAATGGAGCATGAGGAATATCAGGAGCACCTCTTCACTACATTCAAGTGTGTCCAGTGTTCTCAGTATTCCCACCTGGGTGCTTCTGTCCTCTTCCCTGCACTGTTAGCTCACACTAAACTTAGGGTCTGTTCACACTCTCAGGCCTTATTCACATCACCTGCTTTGAACTCCCTCTTCCTCCCTTATGTAAGCAATGTTTAAACATTTGTTTTTTCTTCTTTTTTTTTCTGTTCAAATTCACTCATTATTGCTACAAGCTAAGATTTATTTGATCTTGATTATGACACCCAAACCCAGGACACATATATGAGATGTGATCAAAATACATGGTGAAAGCTTAAATTTAAAACATTACAGTAAAAGACACATTGGCATTTATTTCCCTCAAACAGACCCCATCATTCTTGCCACTTTCTGAAGCAACTTGGACCATGAATGTCATTAGGTGATGTGATAAAAAACATGTACTGAATGCTGTTGCTCAGTGCCCTCCCATAGAAAAGCAAACTCATAAAAACATTGAGATGTGTCCTCATCCACTTTATTCAGTGGCTTTGGTACTGTGTGACATGTGATTCTTCCCAAAGTAAAAGATGACCATGAAAGGTAAATGTTTGGAAACAATTCAAGGCACTGAAGCAGCCACAACAGTGCAACTAAAGATACTAATGGAAGAGACACCCAAACTCTTTCAGATCATGGCAAGAAAGATGCAATATGTGTGCCTGAAGTGTGTTGAAGGGGATTAAAGGCAATGAGTCTTTTACTGTCATAATTTTTAAAAATACAAGTAGTCACTGTAGTTTTCAATGACACCTTGTATGTCTAAAGCTGTTTGTGAGTTTCACTCTTCTGAAAATGCCCACATTTCAGACTTTCATATTGTTTCTCTATTCTGCCAATATTCTGTTAAATTTACTCTATGTGTCTCAGTATCTTTGTTTATTGTTCCATCTTGCACTTTAGGATCATTTTCAATTGACCTAAAGTATATCCTTTAGAATATTATTCAGCAATACAAATACCCCACGTTGACAACACGTCCTCTCTGCAGAGTCACAAGAGGAATTATGAGAGTGGCCTGGGTCTGGCTCCTGCATATGTCCTGAAATGACTAAGAAGCAGAACCAGGTGGGCTGCGACCTGCTCCCATTGCCACAATTCCCAGCTGAAACTTGTGGAGAGAGCCAGGTATTTCCCATCTACTTCCTGGAGGCAGAGAGGGTGACCCAGAACCCGGCCCCCATTACAGTCTGAGTCTCTGCCCTTCATGTACCTGTGGCAGGCAGGAATTCCTCACTCAGAAGCCCCAGGGACTGCTCTCACCAGGGTTTGCATGTGGGCCCTCCCTGCGAGTCCTCTGTGCAGAGTGAGTGAGTACTCGAAGAGCTGCTGGTCCTGCAGTTCGAGTCCCTGCTTTACTCACACCCAGACGCCCTGGGGGTCACAGGCATGGGCAGACTGTGATTACTGTCCCTCCGGCCCACATCTGGTTCCTATATGTGTCCTGAACTGACTAGAGAGACAGAATCAGGGGGTTCACAAACTGTCCACCTTGCAGTCTGTGTCTGGGTTTTGCCTGTACCCTGAACTGCCTGGGGACATAGGTCCACTGGACCGAGATTGTCACACCAGTGCAACTTGAGTCTGGGCAGTGCACATGCCCTGAACTGCAAGGGGACACTGGATCAGACAGTCTGCCATCAGCTGACATCAATGCCTGCATCTGAGACTTGGGATAACTAGACAAAAATCAACAACTGCCAGAAAACCCCAGACTAAGTAGTGCTTCTCAGCAGACACTGAGGGGCAAACCTGACCAACAGGAAAACTAG